TATCTATCTATGTAAATTTTAAAAGTTCAAAAACCAAAATATCTTTATGTGAAATTTATGTACATGTCTCAGATTCATGATAGAGATACTAGGTTTGCAAACTACCTTTTGCCAGGGTTATGCACAAAACCAAAACTTTTAATATGCTCATTCTCAGTAAAAGGTACAAAACTTCTTAAAGAATCCCTATATAAATAAAACTAGGTAAAAACAGCAAAGATTTCCAGAATAGTCTTTAAAATCACCTCTTACCAAGTTACGATTGATGTTAAAAATTCACTGTATTAAATTTAACGTCTTTTGTTTTGTTTTAATTGTTTATATTACAATTTAGTGACTAGATGGTATGCTATGGTATGTACTAAAAGTTTTAGATTTATATTGACGATTTATAATTCATGATTTGTACTGAATTGTATTGAAAAAGTATTTTTGTTACTTATTTTATTTGTAATTTACTTTTTAATTGCTCAATTATTCTGTAAATTAGATTATTTATTTCAATAGGCAATTTGAAATAAATAAATATGTAGTTCAATGTAAAACGAATAGATGTAATATATTGACCAGAAAAATCAGGTTATTTGAAGTAATTAATGCTCAATAAATTAGAAGTAAACTTAGTAACCATTGTATTACACAATAAATGTAATAATGGTCCTTGAAACCAAATCTTGTGCGATTGATAAATAAATCGTTCATCATCATCATCATGATCGATCTCTCTTTCTTTCTATCTTTCTATCTCCCTCTCTCTCTCTCTCTACCAACCAGAAACCACATTGATAAAATATTCACAAATGTGTACACTATGAAAAAATTATTAACTTACGAAAAACTTGGTGTCACCTTAGAACTAATTAATTCTTTAATGGCATATATTCAGTCACAACAAAGTCGTCATGAGTGATCTAACTATACTTTACAAAATAAACTTCAAAAAGCACAAAATCCGTGCATCCGTTATATCCTTAAACTAAAATATGATTGTAGTATAGATGATAAATTTTTGATATTAAACTTTGATATTAAATTGTATTAAATTCTCTCTCTTTTTCTAGCCCTTTTCTCCATATCCATGTGCGTACGTTTTGTCCTAATAATAAACATAAACATTATTTCTAATTGTATGGATAAATATATATAATTCACACAGTTGAACAAAATCTGTCAGAAATGGTAACACAGTCTATTTGCTGGCCCCCGTTGATAAAACGAAAATATTCAACATCTGATTCGGTCGTCAAGCCAAAGCAGTCAATGGCATATCCAATTAATCTTCGTGATCATAAATACAATAGGGCAACGTCCTAAATAAGCCGTTGCCGTCCGCAGTTTTATTCACCACAGACTGGTTTAGCCCTGTTGACAACACCTGAAAAAAAGGTGCTGATTAATAGAAGAGTTTTTCCTTTCGGTTTACCCATGGCAAAATAATTAGTTACCAACATATTGAACCTACACACGGAACAAATGTTTTTAAGGTTTAAGTTTAACTTAAGATTCTAAGCTAACTCACATTGTACGGCTAAAGTAAATCAACGCATTTTAAGCTCAAAAATGGTTCAATACAATTTATTAGTTTTATTGATTTGCAAACTCCTAAAAAAAGTTGTTATTATTCACATTTATTCATGTAAAAAGAGATAAAGAGGCTAACAAGCACACTAGTGCAAATATAATAATTTGGTCCTTACAAGATTTTTAATAAACTTCCTGCTGTTAATTATTGTTGAGAAGCTTTTTTTTCTTGTCAGTTATTATAAAGGAACTTTCGCATTTCTCTCGCTCCAATTAATACAATCATAATTAGTCTCCCTAGTTCTTGACTGATGAGAAATCTATCGAAGATAATAGAGTTTCTTATGTTTCCTTTTACTAAATGCCTGACTTATTAACCTAGTCTGTTTCGAGCCTAAAATCATTCTGTGCCATCCATCCTTTCATCGATTATTCGTGACCAGTCAGCCATTTTAAATTGTAATATTTTATATATATTAAATAACATTTAGATTGTGTGTGTGCGCGCGTGCGTGCGTGCGCGCGTGCGTGCGTGCGTGCGTGCGTGTGTGTGTGTGTGTGTGTGTGTGTGTGTGTGTGTGTGTGTGTGCGTGTGGTTTATAGTGACCGTAAGTTAGTGATTATTTGGAGATCGTGAGATGCGGTCTGGTGTGACGTAGGTTTAGAAAAACATTTTCTTTATCGTGCCAACGTTTCGATCTTTAGTGAGATCACCTTCAGGGCCTAGGATTCATAAGCATCGTTTAAATTATACAAAAACATGTAGGATGTGAAAAAATGAATTTATACAATGCTAGAAATTTTAGACTCCAACGAAGCATTTGTACAAAAATTTTAAAATTCTAGTATTGTATAAATTCATTTTTTTTATTTGTGGATCGTGAGATGCTGTCTGGTGTGACGTAGGTTTAGAAAAACATTTTCTTTATCGTGCCAACGTTTCGATCTTTAGTGAGATCATCTTCAGGGTCTGGGATTCATAAACATCGTTTAAATTATACAAATTATACAAAAACATGTAGGATGTGAAAAAATGAATTTATACAATGCCAGAAATTTTAGACTCAAACGAAGTATTTCTACAAAAATTCTAGTATTATATAAATTAATTATTTTATTTGGAGATCGCGAGATGCGGTTTGGTGTGACGTAGGTTTAGAAAAACATTTTCTTTATCGTGCCAGCGTTTCGATCTTTGTTGAGATCATTTATAAACATTAGTTGACAAAAAATAACTAGTACAAATTAACAAAAACGCGTAGGATGTAAAAAAATGAATTTATACAATGTTAAAAATTTTAGACTCAAACAAAGTATGTGTACAAAAATTCTAAAATTTCTAGCATTGTATAAATTCATTTTTTCACATCCTACATGTTTTTGTATAATTTAGATAATTTAAACAATGTTTAAAAATCCCAGGCCCTGAAGAAGATCTCACTAAAGATCGAAACGTTGCCAAGATAAATAAAATGTTTTTCTAAACGTACGTCACACCAGACCGCATCTCACGATCTCCAAATAATCATTAAGTAACGGGCACTAAACACCCCACGTTAATATTATTAATTAATTGTAATTTGTACCTTCTCCAAAATTTGATTTTTTCCCCTGTAAATTTATTCTAAGGTTTTATTCGCTCCAATTAAAAACAAATCCTCATTCTTCACCCCGTTTTATACGAAAGCTTAGCGTGTCTAGAGGATAGCGCTACTGATCGAACCGTTTCTGGTCTAAAAGCTTTTAGATTAATCTGATGTATTATTTTTTACGCAAACTTCGGTTGAGTTGAAAAATTAGGCCATTTTTGTCGATGAACCTGTACTTATTTTTATTTTCTTTATTGTATTGCATAAATTTGGAAATTTACGAGGGTGAAGTGTGCATGTCTTCACTATCTCAGCGAATAATGGTGATAGTAATGAGGATAATAGGAGACGGAGTTTGTGGTCCCCAAGCTCTGCAGACTTCTGGCTTATTGTACCTTCCTAGTTCCCTAGTTCAGTGTAATAGACTCAATCCTTCTTTTTAAAAGTAAAGGTCATTAACTGTCGCTGCTACAATTTCATTCCCTAGGTTTTTTTTTCTATGTGCTAGGTTAAATCTCCATTGAGCCGTTGGTTCGCATTCGAAGATGATATGGGTGGCTGTTTCCTCCTCATTGCATAATCTACAGATGAGATCATCGTTGTATACATGTTGTGTACATGATTTCTCAGATGCCAGTGACCGGTTGATGGTCCTATCACTCCTCTGAGTCTCGCCCTCTCTAATTGCAGCAGTTAGCCAGTTTTGGTGAGGGTTGTTTCATCGTAAGTTTATTGTGTCTAGCATCCTTGTGTTTATCCACTTCTCCTTTTGTTTTGTTTGAATCCATTCTGCGATGAAGAATTCTACATTTGTTTTGTTATCCTAAGTATAGGTTCGTCGTCTATGTATTGTCTAGCAGATCCTCCTCTAGCCAGTGTGTCTGCTTTTTTCGTTATCCAAAATTCCTCTGTGTCTTCGCATCCAAGATATCATCAGGTTGTCGTGTTTCCCCAGTTTTGGCTATTTAAATCTGGGGGAAAAAGGAATCGGGAAGAAAGTACCTCTGGAGTCTCTAACTACGTAAAACACAAACTTGACACATGTAGTGCTGTGTAACAGTCGTTCGCGATTAATTGGCTCGACACTGCCAGGATTTATGGGAACATAAATTTACGAGTGATTTGAATAAATGAATCCCGGTTTCAACTTGGAAGAATTATATTGGCCTAAGGGAATTTTCAAACCCGAATCCGAAATAATGAGATGGCTTTCGGTAAATAAGACCTAACATGCAAGAAAGTGATTTAAAAACAAGAGAGCTTCCTGCCAGAAAGGAATAAAGCATTTGAACCGGAAAGATTTCTATTTAGTTTTGGCACGATATTCAAATCCGATTTTATTTTTTATATACATATAAAAATGGAAAATTGTACTAAATACTCTTCGTACTTCGACTGTCGGTTAAGCGGTTGACCATAAAAGCCGATATAAATAACGATCTGCGCCATTTAATAATCTCCTTTAAGAGCTTGTGTGTTTAGTGGAAGGAAACAATCCTGGGGGATCGGGTCAAGGCGAGAGATGACGTGATGTAAATGGCGCTATAATGGCCTGGGATAGGGCGTAGTAAAATTTACGAGATATGTGATGAGTCTTATCTCCCCCAAAGGCGTCCCGGGGAATATCAAGGTCAAAGGTTTAGCCCCGGGGAAAATTTCGAATTAATCTTCAAGGGGATAAGGAGGGTTGAAAATCCTATCGATCCCTCTGCTCGACCCTTCAAATCCACATATGTACTATGTCCTCCTAGCTAAACAACGTCTCTATTAAGAAATTATTATAGAGATGTTCAGGCAGAGTGAAATAGTTTTCGATTCATAAGAAACTAGATGTTTCAAAACACTTAAACTATCGATAAGTTAATAAGTTCTTTAATGTCTTTTTTGCAGAAGTTGAACCAAACGACATCCGTCCCGAATGTTTACGGGGCCGCTGTAGGCGGGGAGAGCCTCGTGATGAAGCCGACTGCTTACATCGCAGAAAAGCTGCAGGGCCTGACGGGACGGTTCCACCACTCGCTCGGCAGCAGCCACGAGACGGACGCACCGCCGAGGACGAGAGCAGGTCAGGAAAAGCTTTTATTCCGGTTCGTGCTTGTGCAACAACTTTCATGCAAATTGATTCTGAAACGATCCTACATTTAATATATTAAAGTACTGTTACGAAACTCATGGCTTTTTTGACGTACAAGTAATCGATATATTTTCAATAACTTTGAAATTAAGGCTTCGAGACACCAGTTCGTGTAATTTTAGTATAACATGTCAAAGTGGACAATTTCAAAATAAAAATGATCATTTTTCAACAAAAAATTCCTTTAATATAAAACGAACATCTACTGTCATTAGCCAACATCCAGCCAGTTGGTGGCGCCGCTCTCACTTTGTCTTGATCCCTGACCTAGTGTTATTTTGCGCAACAGAATTCCTTCATGTTTAACCAAAATAGCATAGTTAGAGTTAGAATTAGTTAAAAAATAGTGTAACCAGAAACTCAGTTTGTGGTGCAGCTTCTCTAATTTTCAATCTGTTGTCAGTTTTTCTTCTTTTGCTGATGTGCTGGTATTGCAAAACGTTTGTGGAATGGGTGACAAAAACTTTACGTTTTGATAAATTCCCTTCAGGAATAATAAAAACTGCGCAATCCTAATTTTCTCTAATTGCGAGCAAGATATTTTTAGTTGAGCTTTGGAACGTCATCTGAAAGTAAGTTTAATTTTAGATAAGACCTCCAGGCGATAGGAAAATCTGACACTCTAGAAAGCACTGCTGAAACCGATTTGGAAATATGGATTAGAACTATGGTACCCCACTCAACCTGCTAAACTACGAATTCAATCCTTCCAATCTAAAGAATTGAGAATAGTCAACGCTCCCTACTTCGACCTCCACAACCGCCAAAATACAAGTTGTACATTAATCCTCACCAATTTTTCTAAGTTCCACGATAAACATTCCACTTATCCCAACCGATTCACTCAATTACATGAGTACAATATAGGGATAAAAGAGGTGGCACAAAGCCAAAAGAGATGATATACTGTTTTCCTCTATTTTTCATATCTCACTGATCAGCTTCAGGTTGATAATCAATCGCCATAGCCTACCTCCGTAGTTGTTGTTTCAAGAATCTGTGCCTACAAAGATGTTCTCAGAAGCATCAAATGTGTTCTGAGGTCTCCTCTTTCTGGCAGCTTCTACACAGTACTTCTTCTGTCTCTGCCCCTATTCGGAACATGTGCCTTCTTAGGCAGTGCCCTGACAGAAGTCCACCTGCAATCCTGGTTCAGTTGCGATTGCCTTCCAGTAGTTCTTTTGTAAGTTTTGCGGACCCCCCCCTTCGATAAATTTCTCCGCTTGCATCATTCCTAGGGTATTATTCCACCAAACTTTGGACACATTAAGGATCCACTTAAGAAGTATCCTATTTTGTGGCAAGATGCCAGGCTACAGTATGGTTCGGGACCTCCACGTTAGCTCCCACTTTTGCCAACATGTCAACCTTTTCATTGCCTCTTTGCCCCAAATACCCAGGGAAGTCCAATATAATCCACTCATATAATACCGTCAGATGAAAAAGCGGAGAAGGCCCAGGGAGCTCGCCAAAGACTAGCCCTTGTGTAAAGTTGGTAAAACACCAATGATTGCTAACTCCCTTCACGTCGTAAATATGTATGATATTACGTAAAATTACAAATTATTATTTTATCAAGTAATTAATATTTATGAAAGGTATTGGTTGAGATAAAAAAAAGTCAGCGTCACGAGCGGGATTCAAACCCACGACCTTCGGCTAAATACGCCGCTGCTCTACCACTTGAGCTATCGTGACTTCGATCCGCTCGGACACAAACTTCCCATCTCAACCTCACCTCTCGAACTTGATTGAGATGGGAAGTTAATGCCCGAGCGGATCGAAGTCACGATAGCTCAAGTGGTAGACTAACGGCGTATTTAGCCAAAGGTCGTGGGTTCGAATCCCGCTCGTGACGCTGACTTTTTTATCTCAACCAATACCTTTCATAAATGTTAATTAATTGAAAAAAAGTTAATTGGTCAATCGGACCACGAACTGTAATGAAATTATTATTTTATTTTATACAGTTGGTAGTAAACATTTTATTTTTTTAAAGATATCTTCATTTTTCTGCATAAAGATTCATATTTCGAATTTATGTTCCCAATTCGTTTTAATAAAGCTTCGAATAACTTTATATTGGAATTGTATTATAAATTAGCTATATAGTGTAAATGTAAATATGCTCAAACATTCGTTAGGTGTAAACGCTCTGTGAGAGATTTTACCACCCTTCTCGGCTGAATGGGCTGTTAAAAGGGGCGACAATCCCTGCGTGGAAGTGGCGTGTAATGAAGGTTCCTAGTGACGATAGAACAGCTAATTATTAATAATCTCCCACAACTAGCTGAGCCTATTTCCTTGATCAAAGAAAGCGCCCACCCCTTTCAACTCCAACCGGGTGAAAATTGGCTTATCAACACCGTTGTATTTTATACGTCGAATCTACAAGAAATAGGAGAACAATGAAAATCCTGCCGGGGAAACATGATCTCGGGACTGATCGCAATTATTATTAATTATTGTAGCAAGGGAGTACGAATTGATGTCTTAATATACGTGTCGATTACGTACATTCCACGCCATTTCATATTGCGCAAAAACGGACAGCGATTTGTTCATTTTCCACAACGCCGTTTGTTTAATTCCCCCTATCTTTGATGTTGAACCTTAACGTATTCATGATGTTTAAATGATTACCTAACCTAAACTAGCCTAAATTTGGCGGGTATCAAGAGTTCTCGACATACTGCTGAGCCCCAGTTCTGCAACTACACTAAAATTATGTACATCCTAAATGTACATATGGCAAGGTTTAAAGGAAACCGCGGCCGGTGCGAATCCGGAAGTTTCTACGCTGGGAAGGGAGCGCGTGGGAGACCAGGCTGATGTATATCGGCATAGGTAGCCCTTTGCTCGCGGCATACGGTTTGATGCTCAATGCAGACCCGACCACTCGGAATGGGCAAGCGGGGAGCGAGGTTGTCTTGGCCCTTCGGGGCTAAGCTGTCTCTAAACCAATGCTGCGGCGGTAATACACTTCTGTCGTATGCGGAGGTCCGTCAGCTCTCATCTTGAGAATCAAAACGTCCAATAGGCTAGGTGCGGACGTTAAAGATCCTCATTGTCCTTTTAAGGACGACCGAGTATACGGGCAAGCAAAGCCCGGCAAGGTGAGTTTCACATTAACACCCTTTTTTCATTTACGCAAATAAATACAGTCACACAGTTTGGTAGTACCAGGATTTTAATATTACACCTAGTGAGCTCCTATCACATAGAAATATATATACAGGGTGGTCCCATCGATTCAGCCACACTTCCAGATCGTATAAGAAATTGAATGCTGAGTAAAAAAGGTCTTATGAACCTGTGTCCGCAAACCCTTCAGTTCCGAGCTACAGGCAAAAACCCATGAAAAACCACGTTTTTTTACCTTATTCGTGAAATTGTTAGTAAACCGTTAGCCTGACCGTAAAACACCTTGAAACAGCATCTGTAGAGGATTAATTTCTGCGTCGAATGAGATTAAAACCCGCCTGATCGGCCGAAAATTTCATTTTTATCGAATTTTCGAAGTTAGGAGGTGAAGGGGTACACAAAATTCAACATTTCTGACATTTTTATCAAAAATTCACAACTTCAGTTAGCCGTTAAGATTTTTTGTACATTATTTCATTCAGTAGGGGGTACCCATCAGAAAACAGTTCAAGTTGTGAATTTTCGATAAAATTTCAGAAATGGTGAATTTTGAAGAATGTATATATATCTTTCAAATTAAAGATTTGATTTGACTGAATGTATTTATTTCAACCTACTTATGAAAGGGCTCCGTATATGGGCCAAATACGTTTATCCACTACAGGTATTCAATCAATTTCTTACCATAACCATTTCTGTTCCTTACGAGTCTTTTGAAATTTACAGGCAAGCCACACCTATTCCTTCGGGAGCTAATTCCTCTCATTCTATTAATAAGTGCTTTACAGATACTTAGCGCCGCATAAAGGGCATTTCGGTGGTCATCGAGTGATAAATTAAATTAAATGAACGGCGTAATTGAATACCTTACCGCACGACCGGTCGGCACGTTAGGTTTAACATCTGTAACGCCGTTTTAGCCAGTTTTAATGTCCGTTTGAACAAAACAAACGAGAGCTGTTAAATTATATAATTATAATTTTNTATATATAAACAAACGGGCATTAAAACAGGCTAAAACGGCGTTACAGATGTTAAACCTAACATATGTACATACGTATATATATTATTTTTTTTGTTCTGTTGTGTTGATACTTGTACGCCGCATAAAGAGCATCTCGGTGGTCTTTCTTTGGCGAGGAGATGCCAATGTGTCAGCCTGGTGCCTATCCGCTGGCGAGTGAATATGATCATTTTTTATTATTTCCTCTATGGTTTTATTTCATGTAGTTGGTCGGTCGTGGTGGTCCGGCGGTTCTGTCATACTTTCTAGCATTGGTTTTTAAGATTTTTCACACCTGCTGGACCCGCTGGCGTTTCCAGGTCATTGCGGCGTCCTTACTGATAGTTTTGCATGCCTGGTCGGCTTTTTCATTTCCATTTATACCAATATGTCCCGTGATTCAGTACGGATTTAAGTATTTCAGTAGTTTTTTTAATTTACTTGTTTTTGCGTGATTTTCTTGGATTAGAGGATCCATGGAAAAGACAGTTAACAACAATTAAATTCAAAATCACTTGTAAAATTGTAAATATTCAATTTGAATGAAGTGTATGAAGAATGGGGCGATGAAAAAAAACACGGCTAAAAAGAACCAATTTCGGTTTATTATAATATGTTTTTAAAAGTTAAACCTTGTCATAATTACATCCCCAGATTCCACTCATATTTCAAAGAAAGTTGCATTTTTCTGAAGCATTGATTATTAAAGATTATTTTCCATTTTTCCACTTTTTCCCCTACAAAACAAATATTGTAACGCTCGTTAATTCGTTTTGACTTTTTT